TATTTATCTTTTCTTAGTTATACTACTTCTTATAGGTCTAGCTTATAGACTTTAGTATACTAATAATAGTAGCCCTCTAGCTTCTTAGCTTCTTAACCTTTTTATAAGCTATAAGGACTTTTACTAGTTTTTATTTTATTAGTCTTATATTATAAGGGTTTTATAAGGTATAACTTATAAAGACTTTTACTAGTAATACTTTAGTTACTTTATACTATACCTTATTATAAATAAATTCTACTATTATAAGCTATTTAACTTAATTATCTTACTTTATATTATAAAAGGCTTATAAAAAGTATTTTATATTTTAATTTTACTACTTTATTTATTTATTTATTTAAGGGTAGTAAGTAGTACTAAGTTTTTACTTAATAGCTAGCTAGTAGTATACTACTACCTAAAAATAGCTAGTAAATAGGGATCCTCTATTTAATATTATTACTATAAGGATACTAAATCTTAAGAACACCTTATCTACTAAGAGGGTTACTAGCTAGTTTACTATAATAGTCTTTTAAGTAAGTAAGTAAATAGTATACCTTATAAGCTTATTTACTACTACTAGAATACTATTATACGCCTTACTATTAAAGCCTTTTAACTTTAGTAGCTTTATAATAAATTTTATAGTTATATATTCTTATAGCTAGCTAGGTACTAGTAAAAGTACTAGCTTTTTATAAAGTAAGTAGTACCTTAGTTTAGTTTACTAGTATATTATATAAGTCTTTATATACTTTTTAATATTTCTTTTATTAACTTTTAAAAATATATTTATTTAATATATTTAAGTATATAGTTTACTTCTAAGTAACCTCTAGCTAGCTTATTATAAAATACTACTAGTAACTTTATTTTTACTATATACTTATTAAAAATAAATAGTTTTTTATTATACTATAGTACTTTATTTTCTTTTTTTACTTATTAACTACTTAGTTATTACTACCTTTCTAATTAGACCTACTAATCTACTAGTTATATTATAATAATCTTATTTTTTAAGTTAGTAGTAAGTTAGCTTTAGTCTAGTAGCTTAGAACCTAGTAACCTACTATATCTAAACGTTATAACCTATTTCCTAAATCTACTAAGGAAGTCTACTAAAAACACGCTATATACTTCCCTCTCCTCCTCCTTAGTAGGCTAGTATTCTAGCTATTATAAGAGCTTATTTACTATATTATTTTTCTTAAGCTTATACTTAATCTTAAAGTTAAATAATAATAAATCTTATAGTAGCTAGGCCTAGTAACTATTAAGTTAGGGCTTAGTAGCTAAGTAGTAGTACTCTAGATAGTTTATTAAGAATACTATTTAATATTATATATATAGTAAGTAGTATCTTTAGTAAATTACTACCTTATAGATTATAAGTAGCTTTACTTTTAGTACTTTATAATAAAGTTCTACTTTTTATAGCTTTTATAATATAAAGGCTACTAAGTACTATACTTTTTTATAAAGCTAGTATATTACTATACTAATTATAAAGTTAAATATATTTATTTTAACTTATATAAGTAACTTAAGGTTAAAATATCTAAGGATTAAGGCTTAAGTAAATAAGGTATAAAGCTTATAGAAAGCCTTCTTTACTTCTTATATTATTACTTACTTTTTTACTACCTTAGATATTAGCCTGTTTATTAAAGGGGTATATACTTTAAAGTAGTTTTTAATAAATTACTAGTAAAATCTTATAAACCTTAAGAAAACCTAGATCTCCTTAACGCTAGTAAGAAGTAGCTACTTTACTATTACTTATACTTACTTATACTTTATAATAATCCTTTTATTAGATATTATAAAACCTAGGAACCTAATAGACTAGGTATAAAAAATACACTTCTTAAGGTTTATATATAGCCTTATAGTGTCTAACTAGCTTAGTATTTACTTAACTACTTTTATATAACTTTTCTTATTCTTTATAGAAATTAAGATATTATCTAAGTAAATAATATATATAATATCTACTAGCTTAGTAAAGGTATTATTAATATATACTTAAAATATTACTAGTATATTAACTAGCTTAAATAGTATAATATAATATTTAAAGTATTTATAGTAAGTATAAAAGGCTATTTTCTATTTATTACTTACTTTAATCCTTACTTAGTAATATATATCCTTTAGGTCTAGCTTTATATACTACTTTATTTTTACTAAATAGTTAAGAATCTTACTAATAAGAAGTAGTAGTATATAATTCTTAATAGTTACTTTATTAAGCCTTTTATAGTCTATATAGAGATATAGCTTACTTTTTTTCTTAGAAATAAAAAGAATTAGTGCTTTTACTAGGCTTATAAAGTGTTTAATCTAGCCTTTTTTAAGTAACTTATTAATATATATCCTTAATTTCTTTAGTTTTTTCTTAGCTAATAAGTAGATAAGGCTAAATAGCGCTTTTACCTCTAGCTTTAAATTAATTATATATAAGTAGCCTTTATTACTTACTAGCTAGGCTACTAGGCCTATATTAAATATATATACCTATTTCTTATAGGTCTTTAGTAAGGTAGCCTTTATTTCCTTATCTTATTTAGCCTCTACTTTTTCTTTTTAGTTATAATAAAGTATTTTTAGTACTTTTTTATCCCTTTTATATTATAAGTAGTAGATTATTAGTTAATAGGCTAAAATAGCCCTTAACTCCTTATATACCTTTTTAATTTTTTACTTACTTTAAATAAGTTAAAAGTAGTTTTTTCTTAGTAAGTATATCTAGCTAATTATTATTTACTTTATATTTAGTTATACTACTTATCCTTAGGGGATCTTTAAGATTATATTATACCTAGCTATATTACTAACTTAAAAAGTATAGCTTTATATCTTTAAGACCTTTATATTATTTATAACTTTTATTACTACCTTTTTTATTTTATAGTCTAAGGCCTTACCTTTTTATATACTTTATAATACTAAGCCCCCCTAGCTTACCTTTACTAGTACCTTTATATATAATATTCTTTAGTATAATATATTTTTATTTATACTAAAATTAATTAGTACTTTTTTTTTATATACTACTTATTTTAGTATAAAAATCTACCTTAAAGTAGTAGTATAGTCTTTTATCTTAAGAGAGCTTAATACTATTAACCTTTATTAGTACTAAAGTATATTATTATTTTAAGTATTATAATTACTTATACTTATAGTACTTCTTTTTACTATACTTAGCTAACTAGTACTTAGGCTTCTTATAGTTATAATAAGTAAGTAGTCCTTAAGTCCTTTTTAGCTAAGGTGTTATACTTTTTTTTTTTAACCTCTAGCTTTAATATAAGTATACTTACTAGTATTATAGCTATTAGTATTAAGTATATACTAGTAGCTTTAGTTAAGGGGGTGTTTATAGTTATTAGTTATACTACTACCTCTTAGTAGCCTTTTTTTTCTTAACCTTACCTTAGCTATCCTCTTAATACCTCTCTTATATAGGTCTTAGTAAGTGTTTTTACTTTTTTTACTATAATATCTAACTTCTAGTAAGTAGCTAGTAGCCTCTTAGTAAGTATATAAGTCCTTAGGTCTAAAAGCACCTAGTTTAAAATATAAACTACTTACTACCTTTTTATTTAAAGGTTAAAGTACTTTTTCTTAACTATTTTATATTTATTAATAAATTATTAGTATAATTAGCTTAAGGCTTATTATATAGTATCTAGCTTTATAGTAGTATTAAGAGCTTATATATTATTATTAGTAATATTTACTTTTAGTTAGTTTTTTATAACTTCTTTAAGTATTTTACTAATCTTATTTTTATAATAAAAACTTATATACTTTCTTTATTTATATACTAAGTTACTTTTTAGTATAGTACTAGTATATTTTACTTTATTATTATTAGTTATACTAAGAAATATAACTATATGAAAGAGTACGTAGGTCACCTGTTTTATTACTATAATTAAATAGTTACACACTTATAAGGGTAATTAATATCTAACTTACCCCCTTAAGGGCTTATAAAGCTTATAGGCCTTAGACATGTTATATAAGGTAGAAACCCTAGATTCCTAGGTAAAGACCCTCTATTATATATGTTACGACTATATATTAAACTTAGTTAATTAACTAGGAGCTAGGCTTATAACTACTAAGAAATATAACTATATAAAAAAGTATATAGGTCACCTGTTTTATTACTACAATTAAATAGTTACATACTTATAAAGGTAATTAATATCTAACTATTATAAACTTATTTTTTATTATATTAAAATATATTTTTAACTAAAATAAAAATTTCTATAGTTTATTTTAGCTTTTTTTTATACCTTAAGGTAAGTAATTCTTTTAAAAGTATATTAGTATAAGGTTACTTAGCCTTTAGTTAAGGATTAGTAGTTATTTTTATTTCTTTTTATATATTTTTTATAAATATACTATTTTAAAAGGCCTTAATTTAATTAATTAATAATTTTTTTTTTTACTTTTTTTACTTCTTTTTTTAAAAAGGCTTTTAGCTTTTCTTTTAATAGCTTACTTAATTTAATAGTATACTACTTATTTACTTATATAGACTTAGTTATATTAGGTATTAGTTATTTTATTATAGTGCTTCTTTTTTACTAGGCTATAGTTTAGGATCTAGTTAGTACTATTACTACTTTAGTAGTTAATATACCTAAGGATAAAGAGATATTAAAATATATTAGAGGTAAGGATAGTATTAAGTAAAGGAGTTAGTAATAAGTGTAGTTAAGGTTTAATTATAATAATTATTTTAGTATACCTCCTCTAACCCCTATGTTCTATAAAGTTTTCCTTTTTTGTTGTTCCTTTAGTGACTAGTTTATCTAGTCCTGGTCCCACTCCGGTGCCCCCCTGGGGCCCCGCTCCAGGCACCTAACACTACGCCACAAGGGCCAAACCCTAAGAGTTAGTAGCTTTCTCTCTTTCTAAATGACTTGTTATTAAATGGGCATAATTGCCCGTACTTAAGACCCCCCTAATTCCATATGCCTAACAGCTGTTCACAGATCCCAATTCATACATATACCGGTGTTCGGATCCGGAATCTTTTTAGGTCCTTTGATACAGACGACGTCCTGTTTGCCAGTGCACGTAGCACCCTTGAAATTCTCCCACGGCACAAAAGTCGTTACCGAATGCTTGCCATTGTTGTTCCACCCACGCCATATCATTAACCAGCCCCGGTACAGCCGACGGCCTACAGGGCAGGCGGCAGGGTCACCGTCTGTAACTAACCAAGGGCTCCCGTCCGCCCACCCCGTACAATCCGGGCCTATCTGGAGTAGTACGCCAGCGGTGGCCTCGGCGAATGCATTATCTGGATCGGTCGCGCAAACGGTGACGTCACAGGCTTCCTGGAGGCAGTCGTAGCTGCCCTGGTCGTCTTTATACGTGTCTCTAGAGGAGAGCTCCAAGGCGTCGGCGGGGATCGCTGTGCAGAGGCGGCAGAAAACCAGCCAGGTCCATAAGAGACTAGGAATTTCCCTGAGTTAATCGCCGCCATGTCAGATCTCTAGAAGGTTTGAAGGACTCACGAAGTTGCGGGACGAAGCATAGCGTCCGAATTTAGAAGATGATTCCGTGTGGTTGAAGATTCAAACCTTTGATCTGTTTCTATAACAAATAAATAAGATGGTGAGCGTTACTGAGTGCTACGTAGAAGGTGGTAGCTATATAAGTCTGTAAAGATGACAGTATATAAAGATGGAAATCTACCACTACTAAGCATACTGAAAACTTTTTATCTAGGCCTCTTGTCAGGCCAGGATCTTTTTTGACTTCTTTGCCTCTTGGTTACCCAAAGGGAAATTAGGCTTTGCCAGGCAATCGCGAAAATAACCACAGGCAACCCACTCTTAAAAATTAATAGCTCAGTCATCCAGGGATGCCATAAGAAATATCAGGTTGTACCAAGTCATTATCCCTAGTAACTCTTACTTGTTTTGGAGAATATTTATTTAAGAGAGTCTTTGATTTTTAAAGTTAGTACGTAATAAGCTAGCTCATGATGTAACTTACAAGAAGCCGTCACCCCACCTACTAACGCTTCATCGGATCAGATTAGATCGTTTTAATTAAACTTCTGCTGCCTGCAGTTTAGGGCAACCAACTGCACCAAGAGGAAAAGGTTCAGTAATAATGCGACTATATTATTACCGCATGCTCTGCGCTATATAGTTACACTCGCCAGCACCGCAACTGGTAGCGTCGTAACAGGTCCACAGACCCATAATTGAGCCGGGCACCTGTCGCCCGGGAGAAAGCTCGCTATTAACATAAGAGATCGCAGCGGCCATTAAATATAGTCAACTCGAGGGGAACATGGATATTGACTAGTACACCGGAGACCTTGATGGTTCTTCCACAAGTCGGCCCATCGAAAGATGGTCTGTTTGTTATACTGAGCATACGATTAGCAAGTTCGCTAGTAACCTCAGTAGCTATTGCACTAGTTCGCCTAGCCCCCGAACGGTATTTATGAGCAAACTAAGTAAACCGTTTTGCTAAATAACTGTATGGATCTTCATAAGGAAATGGCCTGTAGGTTCCAGGTCTTACTCTTTTTTAATCGCGATGCTACCGATCTGGCGATGAACGGCAGGTGACAGTTAAATGCTAGTGGCCAGGCAAGCATACAGTATCCTCTAAACATGTCTTATTGAGTTGGGAGTGCCGGTCTGGCCTTGTTAATTACAAGAGCGGGTTCGTCTGTCATAGGGCGGAGACGAGCAAGGTTGACCATTAATAGCGATTGTCAGCCAGATGTTAAAGTTTTAATTTAGAAGCAGGGTTATACTTGGTTTGAAAAAGGAAAAAAAAGGTCGTTGCTCGGTGATGGACGCATTGCAGCAAGCTATAGAATATAAGAAAGGTTTACCTCATCGGCTGTAGCCCTGATGTTATGACAGCATCCCGGGCACTTCTTGTGATTTTAAAATCCTCACTCCGTTATGATTCTTTTTCGCGCCGTTGCCATAATTTCCCTTGCGGGATTGTCCGCCGCATTTGTGGACTGGAGAAACGCAACATGCAGTGGCCCCATCACCGACGCCATGGCCTTGCCAAACTTGCGATGGGAGGCGGCCGGTGCCTCTGCGGCGCTCAGTGACTTGATGGATTCCTGGAGGAACTACAGCTCGGGGCCATACGAAGTCAAATTTGAGTTCAGCCAGTATGCCTCCTGGTACTTTGGCGGACCAGAGATGTGGCGATGCACGCAGCTTCTCGATGTGCCCTGCTCAACGTCTGTATCTTGCGAGGGCACGAAATACCCAGCCGGACATCTCATCTTGAACTCCTTCTCCAAGCTTCACCAGGTTCGTTCATCTCCCTCCCTGTGCACGTCAGCGTACGTCGTCTAGCCCCTTTATTCACTATTAACCCGGTTTCACCACTTTATGGCGACCAATTTTACTAAGAGCGTCGTTTGTAGTTTCACCGTCGCTACTGGGAGGCTCTCAACCAGGCGCAGATGGATATCCAAGCCGACATGCCCCTCTTTGCTGAAAAGTTCTCTATTCCGCTACCCACTTCAGAAAGTCAGGCTCAGATGCAACGGATCATGCTGAACGTACTGTACGGAGTCGTCGGTATCGCTCAAGCCTACGCTAATAACTTCTGTAAGCCACACCTGTGATATGGATCCCAGATTTCCATCGAACAAATTGCTTGCCATTTAGACCCTGGTCGTACCTAACACATTTCCAAAGTCGTCTATTCTGCCGTCATGGATGGATTTTTAGGCCTCTCTCAGACATTCAGGTCTCAAATCACTACAACGACTAGTTACACCATCTTTACAAGCTGGGCTATTGGAAAGGACTATATGCTGCCGTAAGGATCCTACTCCCGTCCCGCGCAAAAACTGCCTTGACCAGACGATGCTGACAAGATTCATTACTCAGGGGTAAAGCCCCAGAACCCGCCTATGGTAAACTGTCGGCCGTAATGGGCTCAGTGTTTGACCAGTGGAAAGCCACTGAGGTGGCCTTTCTCAAGAATATCTTCACCGTGAAGGACAACGAAACAATGGCGTTCTTGACGGCGACGCTAGATAACGGCCTAATGTCTGCCGTACCCGACGACATTGATTTTAGGGAAATGGCACAGGTGCTGAAGAAGGTTTTCTACGTCCAGCTCATGGTGTCCACTTGGCAATCAGTCGCGGACGCCCGGCAACCATTCGTACTGTATGTATGCCCACTAGAGCAAGTATTGGAATGCGTGCTTACCAACAGTCTCTACTCCAGGAAAACAAATCTTCCTTGTGAGATGAGGGCGGGCCACAGAAATGCCGCTCTATGGCCTTTCATACCAGATGGGGACCACGCGAGAGCAGCGACCTGCTACAACGGCGCTCTGTTTTATCTCTTGGACGTCAGGAGCCAAGGCGTCACGCTAAATATTGGGAGTCCCTCCATCAGACCCAGTGAGAACTTTCCTTTCTCGGCGCTCTACGGCACAGAGACAATGGACGGCGTAATGTGGGGCGGAGTGACCAGGGAGGACATTGTCGCGGCCGTCTATGGCGCCTGGGTGGAGGGCGGCCGAATGAACAACAACTTCAACCTGAACTACACTGATGTCAGCCCATCCCAGAACTCGTCACTCTGGGTTGGACAAGGAATCAGGCTACCAGGCTTCGTTAAGCTGCCTTTGTGTCACAACCTCTACACGATTGTAGGAAACATTGCATATGGCCAGCCCGGAGCGCATCCATCATGGCCTTGCGGTTCCCTGCCTGTACTTAAGCCTAACAAAAATTCATAGATAGTTCCTACGAGATCCACGATAGATTCACTCAAGACTTTATATAAGTTGAAACTATATTTCCTGGTTTATGGTTAGTTGGCGAAATGGTCGTTTAGAAGTGTGATTATAGATTGGCATTTGAAAAAGGAAGAGGGACGTAGGGAAAAGGCCAAGAGAGAGTGGAGGCGTAGGTATAGAATATGGTGGGCATGTCGACTGCTAGAGTCAAAGCAACAGGGCCTCACTGACACAGTGAGAGAATACGAGCGGCCTCTCAAGCCAACTTATTTTATTCTAATCTAGGTATCTTACGAGGCCTTTCAGTCATACAGGAGAATACTCCCTGCGAATCTATCGGCACATTTAACTGACTAACGCACCCCTGCCAGTCTTGCGCAGCACTAGCACGACTTCATCTCCTAGTCAGACCAAAATAGGAAGGCCATATATATGTGCTTCAAGTTGTCACCAAAGGTGACTTGCTTCCAGTTATTGTGTCGTGATATATAAGGTGCAATTGCGTATCGGCTATTGCGGTTCCGCTTTTGTCATCAAATGTTGTATTATTCTAAAACCCCCGCGTTATCGGTTGTTTTCTACCGCAATGAAAAGATTGAGATGTGGCACAAGCCGGAGGTGCTGTACATGGGGTTATACATATTGTGGTTATAATCATTTACCAGGTGGACTTGGCCAGGCTGCTTATTGTGTGTGGTCTGGAACGATTTTATGTGTAAATAGTAAATGAATATTATGTGTTTTCTTTTCTTTTTTTCTCTAAATTGTATTTGACAACAAGTTTGCTAGCCACCTCGCGCTGTTTCCGGACAACCTCGCTGCAGACATCAAATACCGACTTAAACGCGCCCTCGCCGAATGCATTATTTCAAGTACCACTTTTCAGTTCAATTTTCTAGCTCCGGTCTCTTTAACTGCCGCTTAGCCCTCAGGAAATAGGCTAATCTACATGTTGAGCACGCAAACGTCGCTATTGTTGACTTGTATCGCCAACTGGCAGGCTGCCTGGCTGATAGTATGGCCAGCAGTCACATCGTCAAGTGTCCCCCCGAGTTAAAACTCTGGATACTGTTTCACCGCACGTGGAATAAGTCATTATGAAAGAATCTTCTGGTTTGTTGACCAATGCTAATTGTTTTGATCGTCCGAAAAACGGGTATGCTGGGAGGATGTAGGACGTTTTTGATCTCGATCATTTCTCCGACTTGGACCTGAAGAAAGGCAAAAGGCGAAACCCGATGTGAGCTAGCAGGCAAAATGCCGCCGCCTCCGAGGCAGATTATGTCTTTCTAGAATGACACAAGATACTATCTGCCATCAAACCTTGGAATCATGTACGAAAACAACACGCTGGTGCTTTATCTCGACGTCAAGGTTAAATCAGGTGTCCTCCCGGCGAATAGTCATCTGACAGCGCAAGGAACCTGTCGTTGTCTGTTTTCTGCACGATAACATCAGGGAGAGAGAAGAGAATAAGCAGACGAGTGACAGCTAGACACCTTACCGCCATGAGGAGCGCGAGAGGGGGGGGGCGTACCCGATCCACAATGGTCGATATTGGGTTCGTTTGATGCCAGCCAGATCTGATCTTGCAGGAACCCGCATGTCCGGGGGGTTGCCGTACCTATATACGCATTTATCTATCCATTCAGATGTTAGAAAATTAGAGTTTATTATGGCCCCCGGCCAGTCACACAGGCACTATCGGGAACTCGCCCTTCCCACCAGTTGGAATTCAGAGAGAATTCAATAGGTAACAAACAGGGGCATTGAAGATTAAAGATCGTTGCGGACATTGTGATCTGCTAGGAAGGCAAGGCTGTTGTAGGTTTCAGCAACCAGAGCCGAGGACGATGTTGGGATGTGTTAATATGACATCATTTGTGACAGCAGAATAGATGGTCTTGCTATCCTGCAAATGAGCTCCTTCCTCTGCAGCTCGATCAGTAAAGAGCTTGTGACCGGACCCTGAAGCTCTGTTCGACTACCGCTTTGCCGGCTTTGCAAAGGTCAATTACTCTCGCTTGCTTTTTGACAGTGTCAAGCTCGAAGACGGTAGCAAGTACCAGGGCGTCAGGATTGTGATGGTGCCATGACTGAGCGATTTTGGGGCCGCGTGGAGAGCTGCATTGAGACAGACGATTGGTTGCTCGCACACGGATGTCGCAGCGAGTGTCTCCAAGAGCGTTGCGCATGGAAAGGAACAAATCAAGAAGGCAGCGGGCTATAATCGAGGGAATGGCCACGGGCGAGGGAAAAGCCATCATGTAGGTGGTTCAAGTGCTGCATGAAGAAAAGAGTATCGTGTGTACGGAAGTCTGTAGGAACCATCATAATGCTCTACACCCGCAGACTATATTCCGATATGGTTCATGCCTACGCCTCTGCTTGATGTTATCACAAGGTGAATTTTGGCTTCACCTCCGTATGCTGATAGTCTTGTAGGCGATCACCTTACATACGACAGCCGGGCCGTCTAAAGTCAAGGGAATAAACGTGTAGACGTACATGATGTAGATAGAAAACTATCGCTCACGAGTTAGGGCACTGTGATGACAAAAGCGGAACCGCAATTGCCGATACGCAATCGCAGCTTATATTAGATCACGACAGGCACACAGCAGGGGCTTGCATAAACGTTGAAGAGAAGCTTATATTGTAAGAAACTGGAGCCCATGCGCCAGGGCCCATAGAAACAGGGAGACGGAGGTAGGTCATGTGAAAGCGCACATGACGTGGCTCATCTATGTGCCACACTAACTTGAGCCTCCTTTGAAATATCTTTCTATGCGGTACGTAATACAACCGCTGGTCGTGAAACCTTGGGAGTCAAATTTACTCTGAACTTCGGCCTGTTGCGTGATTTTTCAGGGCCCCTGTTGATCTACATTCACGTTCATCCCTGTTTCATGTTTCAATACATAAATCCCAATTAGGTTCATGGGCTTGTTGCTCATTGTGGGTCAGATGAAGTCGTTTTGCTTTGGCTGCATTATTTACGTATTTTCCATCCCCGTTCGCGCAAGCTCTAGATTCTGGGGAGGGGAAGTTAGCCGGAATCAATCACTTAACGAGGTTCCTAGGAAGGTAGGCTCAGGCAACATAGAGTAGGCTGGATTGTCCTGGGACGAAGGAGAGAATCTTTAGCTGTGAGAATAGAACGTCAATTCTCTCCGACCGCGGGAGTTGCTCTCGCGTGGCCCATTACCTGTGAGAGTGGGGCTTCTAGGCGGGTACATATATGCCCGACTCTGCACCACACCCCCTTTTCGATAGATGGACCATTTCGACCTCATACACAGTACTGTACATCTGGACCCCTGTTGCGATATCTCTTCAACGTGGGTGGGCAGCAGTGGGGCACCGGGGGCGGGGCCGGGATCGGATTAATAAAGGGGACATCAAAAGAGCCTTCACGCAAGGTTGATGGTTAAAGGAGGGACAGGTTGGAATGACGGTCTTCACCGACCCCTAACTACCTACCCATCTGTTGACTTACTTGTTTACTCCGTACGACCACAGCCTTTGACACCATGGTCGAGAGCTAAAACTCTCGCTGTAACCTGACTGTTCTCCACTATATCGTCCACGATGCTGACTCGCTGTGCCTTATCTGTGCCCATCTTCCAGCATACTGTCAGTGGGCGCCGTGTCGGTGCTGGGGGACCGAGTACCGGTAGCGATATTGACATTACTGAAGGCGGGTGCATGCATGCCAAGGACCTAAGCATGGCGCTGGTGGATCATGGCATACATAGTAGGCTCTAGCAACATCCTGATGCTATGACTCAAGCTCCGCAGACATGTCGTGTACTACGTATGATGGGTAAGTATAAACTCCCTAGCAGGTAGTGTGGAGTTGTGACCCACGTACGAGAGACTCTCACTGGCCAGAATTATGATAGGTAGGTGTGCACAAGAAGCTCAAACTACCGACGCTGGGATAATCAAAAAAAGCACGGCCACATTTACCTGACGAGGGGGTTAAACTTTAGCCCGATGCCGTAGTAGGGAAAGAATCTCATCCTGACGGTCGCGGAGGGTTCGCGTCGTCACCAGCTCGCGGGAGTAATTGTTCGAAAAAATAGATATTGCTGTGGGCAATTATATACAGGAGAGAGAGGAGCTCACATGATGTTATAGCATATCGTTCACCGCATTAGCAGAGGCACAATATTGCACTACGTCCACTAATTAATACTACTTACCCACTTCACTTACGCACACAGACAGACAACGATAACCATCACCGCCAATCTTGTCTGTCCTGGATAAAACTGGAGTAAAAGTATTGTAACTAGGGTACCCCCTGGTATTGATCCGCCTATGATATCAACGGTTACTGTAATCAGCCGCAGCCGTTGGTTGACTAGATAGAGCTCACCCTGTCAAGCACGAAGTAGTCAGTACCTGAAGCCAGACAACAGGCGAGAAGGCCGTAAGAGAGAAGAGCATCCCAGTTATTACTGACTAATATAGGCCACCGGCTTTCCAGATTCTTCCCGCCCTGTTGGGCGTAGCTCTAGTTTCGGGCCGCCGGATTAAGGGAAGAGCCCGGTAGGTCCATTTGTAGCAACTAGGTATATAATACCAATGGCTGACCTTCAGCCATGGCAGGTGCGGTAGTCGTATCTTCTAGCTACTAATTACTCGACCTAGTATTCCGCTATTATGTCATCACTCCGGTCTCTTGTCAACGCTTCGCGCGCCGACATGCTATCTTTTGATAGTTGGACCAGCAGTGGCGCATCCCTACACGCGTTGTACCTTATCACGGCCGCCCTTTCCCTCCTGTTTATGTACAGCCAGCGAGAGAGCTATCCCAAACTGCCAAGACTGAACCCTAAGAAGTTCACAGAGCTGACATGGAGCGCTCGACTCTTTGATTATGCCATACGAAGTCGGGAGCTCTTCGCTGAAGGCACGCGGAAGTTCCCAGACAGGCCCTACAAGCTCTTTACGGACTTGGGCGACGTTATCGTGGTCCCAAACAAGTACGCCGAGGAGCTGAAGAGTAGCCGCGATTTGGATTTCAATGGATCGGCTCGCGATGTAAATTGATGCTCTGGGTTGGGAGGTGCTGGGCGATAATCCCACTAATGAAGTGATAGGCGTTTCACGATTACATCCCTGGCCTTACTCCGCTTCACACCGATATGAGAATGAGATACGTTATCCAGAACTACATGACTAAGACCCTCCGTAAGTTTAGTCCTCACTCCGTCCCTTGTTCTGCTTGCTAACAACCGGTTTCTCAACTAGCAAGTCTAACGGAGCAGATATCACAGGAGGCCATCAAGGCCCTGCGCGAAATATTCCCAAACTCCAAGGGTTGGTTATTCTCCCCTAACCATTGATTCAGCATCAAGAGCTAGGGCACTAAGACAGCTTCAAGCAGACTGGACTGAGGTGACGCCCGACAAAGTCATGCATGTTATGTCGCGCATGTCGTCGCGTATCTTCATGGGCGATGAGCTCTGCAACGACATGGAGTGGATTAAGGCGTCATCCGAGTACATACATCTTGCCGGACACGGCGTCTTTGAGCTGAGCCGGTGGCCGCGGGCGCTGCGCAGCTGGGTGCACTGGTTCCTGCCGACCTTTACCGAGATTCGCCGCCGACTCGCGCACTGCCGCGCCGTCCTTCAGCCGCATATTGACCGCCGCGTTGCCGTCAAGAAGGCCGCCGCTGAGCGGGGCGAGCCGAACCCGTACAACGACTCTATCGAGTGGTTCTCGCGCGAGCTGACGCCTGGTGCCGACCCGACCGAAGTCCAGATTAACCTGACCATCCTCGCTGTTCATACTACAACCGATCTGCTGGTCCAGACCTTAGTGGACATCGCAAAGAATCCCGAAATCCTTGGGCCGCTGCGCGAGGAAACCATCCATGTCCTCAAGACCGATGGCTTCAAGAAGTCGGGTTTGCAAAAGCTCCGCCTCATGGACGCCTGCTTCAAGGAGTCGCAGAGGCTGCGGCCCATTTTCCTCGGTGAGTGTGACCCCCGAGCGTCACCCGTCCTCCCCTCCGGAGTCGGCCCCGTATCTGACAAGCAATTTCCACACAGCCTACTTCCGACGCCAGGCCCTCGTCGACATCACGCTGGAGGACGGCTTCGTTATCAAGAAAGGCACCTTGGTCGCTATGGACGGACGCAGAGTGCTGCACAATGAGGACTACTACCCGGACCCGCTACGATGGGACCCGTATCGCTATTTCCAGATGCGCGAGGCAGGAGAGGAGCACAAGTCGCACTTCGTCACTTCGTCAGACAAGCATATTGGCTTCGGCCATGGCATCCACGCATGCCCAGGCCGCTTCTTTGCCGCTCACGAGCTGAAAATCATTTTCTCTCATATCCTACTCATGTACGACTGGACGATCCCCGAGGATGTGAAGAGTCTGCCTAATATGACGGCCGGCTCGCACTACATGATGCCCCCCGGTACCAGGTTCCTGTTCACTCGCCGCCAGGAGGAGCTGGATTTCAGTGCGCTGGAGTACTAAAGAGACGGAACGAGGAAGACAGCTTTAGGGAGTAACCGTCATGGGACATACTTGGAGAATAAAAGATAAAGTGAACGTCATTTTCAGTCTAAACGATAAAGAACGCATATAATACAGCATCTCCTTCAACGCCTAGAATAAGGGTAGATAGACTGGATTTAATATAGGAGACACACTAGTGGGGCGCCTAGCCCTAGAGACAGTACATAAGTTGTACGTGGAGGTAAGACAATAGCTGCCAGTAACTTCAAGAACCTTGTGCTTATAATTGGTATAGAAAGCTACCTAGTAAATCATAGTGTAATTAAGTTGTTTTAGTTAGTGCACTAGGTCAATATTATCTCTTGCCCCTTGTAGTAGACTTTCAGACAGCTACTTATGTACTCTATAGGGAGGTATATAACAGGAGAGATAAACTGGAAGGAGGAGCATAGAGTGTCAATGTGTATTATAAACCTCCTAGAAGGCCTAGAATATATCTTATTCTGTCTAGTCAAGAAGAGCCCCTCTAGACGTTAAATCACTAGGTAGACTGAAGTAGACAAGCTCAAGCCACAAGCTGATTCAAGCCTGTAGTATTGATGGGGTTTTGGGGGGCGAAGTGGATGTTTTCATTTCCATGCCGGCACGGTGCAACCCGAACTACAAGATTGGGGTTCCTAGACGATATGAGGAGGCTGAACTAACGATCCCTGCGGGAACTGCGGACCAGGAAAACACAATCACGTGGAAAAGGTTAAGTGATGGGATCAAGCTTGTCAGGCTAGGTATTGAAGCACACAATGATGGCCAATAACAAATAGTTGAATACCCATAACCAAGCATCCAAGAGCTAGTACATTGTATTCTATATGTCATACAACCATATGCAATGACCATTACCTTGCTCCTTTTTCAATAATTAAACTAGTTACGTTGTTGTGAAGATCGCGGTCATTAAAAGGGTAGAGACCCAGTACATCTGCTGAAATGCGTTGCAGCATGAATCCACCAGTTCTTAGATTTCTCCGGATGGCCGTAGAAGACTCATGTTTTAACCCAATCACTACATGGTCAAATAATATCAACAGTTCCATCAAAATAGAGCGGACTGGTTCCACAGAGCGGACCATAATGAAAGAAGTGGTGACACTAACTCTGAGTGTCCTGACTCCCATCTTAGCCTCATTGGTCTCGGGCTTCACCTATTTGATATATGCAACCTTTCATTTCGTATTAGGGTTGGCCGTAAGCCGCCGCGGCCAGGATAGCTCTCAGCCATACACATGGTTACCTCCCTTGTCTGCTGAATCTTGTCTGCTGCGGCGGTGGCGTGACGAGCGTCTCCTTGCCATCAACCCCTCCCATCTGGTAGTGCCCGAGGACCCCCACCGGGCTCCCGTCGCAGTCGCTGCTCGCCCTCGTCACGATCTCCGGGTCGGCCGTCACGCCGTACAAGCTCGTCCCCCACGAGCCGACCGTCCCCATCGTGTCGAGCGTTCCCATCGTACCGAGGGTCCCCATAGAGTTGATCGGCCTTCTCCCGAAGGTGCCGGGCCCCCTCCCATTGTAGTTATCAAAGCCACCCCCCACATCCGCCGGGCTTTCTACACCCGGCCGCGTCAGGTTGCCGCCGCCGCCGCCGAGGTCGTGGCGGCCAGCGATGCTCTTGTCGTCCAGCTCTGCGGCGCCACCCCGCAACCTCTGCCTGCGGAGCCACCATATGACGCCCGCGAAGATCAGCAGCGCGCCGCCCACGCTGAAACCAATGCCCAAGCCCACGCTCGCTGCGAGTCCAATGCCTCCTTGCCCGCCGCTCCTGTCATCATTGTTACCGGTCCCGCTTACACCGGTGGGCGAGCTCACGTCCGCCCCGCCTGGTGTGGCGGGGGATTTGCTCGCTCTTGTTGGGGAACTCGTTGCGTCCGCTGCCGGCGCCGACGTCGGCTTCGCTGACACGGACGTGGCCGACAAATCGTACGTCTGTACGGCGGCGGCGTTGCCCAGCGTGGCGGGGATGAGAGGGCCAAAGAGGGCCCATGGCGTGCTACAGCATCGCGTCTTCTCCCTCGCCGATTCGCAGCAGAACTTGCCTGGTACACCGTACCCTTCGCCATCGCACTGCCACACCTGTACGCCGTTGTACCGGAAATCGTAGGCCGTCGTACTCACTAGCGTGTCAGGGTCTAGAGGGTGATTGTTAGTCATATTCGCTCATACACTTTTGCAGTGTTGTTATTCTCTCTTGTGTTTCTTCTTCATTCTCGCCCTCCCTACCCCCTTTGTGTTTCACTGTTTCTAAACCCTACCAGCTTCGGCCCCTCTCATACACAACAGCCGTCCCCGCTCTTAGTTGAAGAAACTTTCGGGTGATAGGCTTACTTAAAACGCAGTTCTGAGGACAGATTGGACTCTGCCACAACGGGTCAGAGCATGTGCCTCGCGCGTACGCAATACCCGTACTATTAGTCGTCTCCTCTAGCTTGCACAGCCCGTTGCTCAAGCAAGCGCTGGTAGCACCACAGCACATGCTGACTTCGGCATTGAGGTCGCATGGCAGATCTCGGGACTGGACGCCGTTCGGGAAATAGCACAGTCTCGCCTTCGCCTGCACGCCGGTCGTGAAGCCACTGCTGAGTGACTTCACCAGCACATGCTGACTTCGGCATTGAGGTCGCATGGCAGATCTCGGGACTGGACGCCGTTCGGGAAATAGCACAGTCTCGCCTTCGCCTGCACGCCGGTCGTGAAGCCACTGCTGCTGAGAAGGAAGACGAATAATGCCCATCCTGGACTTATTGGTTTGGTTGATGTCCTCATTGCCGTCTTCATCATGGTTGTCCGGTCGCTCAGTTGATGGTCTGGAAAGGAGAGAGGTCGAAGGAAATGAAGCATGGAGAGTGAGTCGGACGGTAAATACAAAAGAGTGCAATTACGTGAGAGAGAGAGACTGAGAGAGACAAACACGGAGAGAGTGACGTGTCTAAACAAAGCGATAGTTGGCTGTTGCGTGCGGCAAGGCGCTCATCATGAGGACGAGTAATAACGAAAGACAAGCCCAAGCCTCAAGCTTCAGGATCCCAAGAGTTATTAGGGGATAGCTGGGAAAAGGGATTTGAGGGGGGAGGGACGCGAAGAGATAATAGAGATGTTGAACAGACGGCAGTGTGGGGTCAGGCAAAAGGCGGCCCACCACGTAGGGGTATGGACTCCACGATAGGTAGTATCTAGAGAGGTCAATGGGTGAAACAAGTCTCTAGCGACAGATAAGCCATTACTCTCGTCCTTTCTCTTCAGTACCCCGTATATTTCATCTTGGGTACCTGCTAATAACAGAGCAGGGTTAAAGAGAAAAGAGCAGCATCTGCTAATAGCTGAAACACATAAAGGGGCATAGAGGGCCAAGGGCCAGAGATTCTTTGTTCCAGAAAACATGATATGGATGTATAAAGCTGAGCCTACATGTAAAATTCAAAGTATATAATACTGGCCTAACCCCAAGGAGTTGACTCGTTCCCAATGCTCCCTGAGCCAACCTACCCACTTAGACAGACACGTTCATACGCCCTTATGTTAAATAAATGTATCCGTGCTTTTTGATTATCTTGGCGATACTACTTTGGCGCTTTGCGCACAACCAGCACATGTTCCCAGTGACAATTCTTTCCCAAGGTGGGTTTGACAACCACTCACAATGCGCCTTACGTAGTAGGCGAGTGGGTTTACGTAGTCTTTCTAAGGTCGGCCCATGACTCGCTGGGGTCCACTAAGTAAGAGCAAGAGGAAGTACAGGTATAAATAAATCAGCCCATAATTAATAGTTGGGATACGAGTATTCTTTCAGTCCCACCAAGACCATTAGCTTCTTACAAGACTACTACGTAGGAAGAAAAATATCAACCATAGCGAGGAAAATTTCTATTAAACAACATCATTAAATCGCGCAGATTACGCCCGCTCGTAGTTCCTATATAGCCTAAGATGGCACCAAAGGCGGCCTAGATGGTTGAGTCGGGGATCGCTGAAGGCTCTCATGTTCTAGCCCGCAGTCAGTTTCTGAAGGTTATCACAGCGTATCAATTCTTACCCTCAAGTAATGACGATAGCAATCTGCCGACGTCGCAGCCATTCGGCTCGGAGGTCGTGTTGGAAGTATTTTGGCGAGAGTTTGCATCGAAGTAGCCTCGACGGTGGATATGACAAGTCCGATGAGGAGTACCAGCATGAGTGCCATTCGCCAATTTCGTTTCGTCTGATGCAGATATAGATAGCCCTGGAGAGAAGACAAGCAGGCGGCGTGCGTTAAGTTTCAAAACCAGACGAGGTAAGTCGAAATCTCCCAGTGATATGCAGATATATAAGTATCCAAGCCAATGAAGCCGCTGAAGAGTATTCCTAAGCCGGCGAGGGGCTGAATTTCGCACATGGCCAAAAGAACCTAGTCGAGTGGAAACGTCAGCCTGTAATCCGGCCACAAACATCACCACCGCCTGGGGGTGGGGCGAGGAAATGAAGAGCAGTAGGATGCCTACTTTGTTGATTGCGGTGTCCTATCCCTTCTTATCGCCGAATCGTCTGTAAAAATCGTCCGAATACCTTTGAAGAGTCGGACTGTCTTCACATCGACAGTGTTGGGCTTCCTTTGGACTCGCATTTCATCCTGCCTCCCACAATCGAAAGAATCCACATTGGGATCGAAAGCGAGTTCGTCTCGGTTGCAGAGTCTTTCGTCACCCATGCTTTTATCACAAGCCCTCTCAGCCACAACAGTTAGGTAAGTGGTAAAAGAAGGAGGAAGGTGCAGAGATAAAAGCGCTTAGGTAAAGGGGCGATCAGTACCCATAATAATAGAAATCTCCTTAATGCACCTCCATCCCATAACCAGTCACTCAAATCAGGCTGCGTTTCAACAACAGGATAGAGGCTGCGTTTATCCACATAGGTATCGCGTTTTAATTCAAGCAGCTTTGCGTACAGCGCAGCGGCTACGTAAAAGCAAGCTTGTCACGACGTCATTATCGCGTTACTACAAATCAGCAATAGCCCTGCCATTTCGACACAATAAGGCGACATATGTCAAGGTGGGCAATATGGCCGCGCGCGCCTGGGCACAAGTGGGAAAAATAGCTGTAAATATGCTAGTTATTTCTAGGATGGATTTCCCCGCCTGAATACTCTGTAAAGGGAAAATAATAATCCATGTATTTTACCCCTTTTATAAGGGCTAATTAGTAATAGTAGTGTGCTACAATGGATAGAGACATATAACATGGCAATTAATTAACATAAGGATATTACTACTAGTTACACACTTTAACACTAATAAGCCAACGCTACTGTTACTAAGGTTTAACCTAAGCTATACTATTAGTGGAAACCCTACCGTGAGATTACTGACTGTAACTAGGGAAAGCTTAATAAAATATTGCTGTGTGGCGAGGTATCATTGCCCTTAAAATTGGATTTCTCAGGCAAGTATTAATCTGTTTCTTGCCTTAGCGTAGCAATTTAATCTCGGACACGTTTCAGACAGCTAAACACCAACGCAGACAGCGTAGTCGGGCCACAAGTTCTGACAATCAGACCCGAGCGCCGGGTTCCACTTGACAAAAGTCGCATAGTCCGCAATGCCGTACTTCTGCTGGATTGCCCAGCACCCGTCCCCCGACACTACGAGGTGATACTTCTTGCAGCTGGTCGTGATCCCTTCCTGCGTCGGCCCGGGCGGGTTGACGGGATCCGACCCGCCGGAAGACGCGGGTCCCTTGACGCAGTAGGCGTATGTGGGCCACAAGCCCGAGCAATCCCCGTTGAGTGCGGGGTTCCACTCGTAAAAGTCGGCGAGGTCGATGCCGTTGGCGTTGGCGATGGCCCAACACCCGTCCCCGGACACGGCGACGTAGTACTTCTGGCACCCCTCGACGATGCCGGGCTGCGTGGGACCGGGGGGTTCGACTGGTTCGGTGGGTGTGCCTGGGCCGGCCTTGACGCAAACGCCACGCTCCGCATTTGCGTCCAGGTTGGCGTAGAGACCCTTGTCACAGTCGGATTCCGTGCCGATCCATGTGTTCCACTTGACCAGGTCGCCCACGGTGATGTTTTTGTCTTCGGCAATGTCCGCGCACAGGAACTTACCGGCGTTAAAGCCATCAACCTTGGTGAAGCAGGCGCAGTTGTCGACGGTACCGGGCTCCGGGGTCTGGACTTCGAGGCATCCGCCGTTAGAGGTGTCAGGATCTGCTATATTATCTTGGGTCAGAATTGATCCATCATGAACACGTGCCGGGAGGAGCCTTACCGGTTGCGTTGCCGTACGCTACGCAGTATCCGAGGTTAGGCTGCAAGACGCAAGGACTCACATTCCTCAGACTTGGGTTCCACTTAATGAAATCGTCCATCAAGATCTTCTGCGCCGCGACGACGTAATCACAGGTATTAATGTTCTTGGTCAGTTGGGGCACGTCAGGCTGCTGACTCTGGTCCCTGGGAATAGGAACGTCAACGTGCTCGACAAACTCGCGACACCCGTCCGCCTCGTCCAGCGAGCCAGATGCGAGAGGGAGGTCTGCCACCGGCGTCTCGCTGGGCGCGATGGTCTCAATGGCCGGCTGGGTGGTGGTCACGTAGTCGGACGGCGTGAGGGTGTAGGGCGGGGAGGTGGAATAGGGGTAAGAGGGGTAGGTGTTGATGTCGCCGACGGGTTGGACACAGTAGGACGTGTTGAGCCACAGGTTTCCGCAGCCGGGGTTGTCGACTGAGGGATTGAGGAAGAAAAAGTCGCGGACCTCGACGGAATTCTTGATGGAGATCATCTGGCAGTAGTCGCCGGCCTTGATCTCGTACCACGCAGCGCACATTTGGTGAGACTCCGCCTTGGCGTTGGAGGGCCTCGGAACGGCCGTGGCAGGCGGCTGCGTCGTGGTCGGCGGGCCAGGGGGAACCGCAGTGGCGTCGGCCAGTGTTCTCCCTGGGGGTCTGACGCAGATTAAGTCCCCAACCATGTCTCTGAGGTTGGTGCAGAGGGGGCTGATGTTGGGGTTCCAGGTCAAGAGGTGCTGGGCTTGGAGACCAGGGACGTCCTTCAGGATATTGGCGCAGCTGTCGTCCCACTTGACGCGATATTGGGCACACGCCTCTGGGGGACAGAGCTGAACGCCAGGAACGAGGTTTTTGCAGCCGGGCCCGGTCATGCCGGCTCTGATGACTGCGTTGGTCGATACCTTGTACGCTGTGGCGATGGAGTCGCACGTGTCGCCCGACTTGACGGTGTAGGGCGATGGGCAGACGTGACCATCTGTAGACGTTGGCACGGGCTTGGTAGTGACAGCGTACGCCGCGGGTGTGGTGAAGTCGTAGCCGGCGGCGCCGCAGCTGGACGTGCGGGACTTGAAGTCGGCGGCGAACTCAGCGTCAAAGCCAAAGGGCGAGTTGAGGAGGATATTGGCGGTGCCAAGGGAGCAGCGGGAGCAGGGGCCGGCGGTGGTGTCGTTGGCCAGGTTGTCGAGGTAGACCTCATCACAGAACACACCCGTGTTGCCGTCCTGGGCACAGGACAGATCGTGGGCGTGGATAATGCGGTCCATCATGTAGGTCGCGGGATAGACAACGAGGTCGAATTCGACGACGTCAGTCCTGGCACCACAGCCCGAGGCGATGGTGCGGCGTGCGGCGGCGAGTGACGACTTGCAGCCAGAAGTGCAGAGTGCCTCGAGCATGTTGGACTCGAGGCGGGGGACAGAGGCAGCGTGGGTAGCCAGAAAGCCAGGACAGTCCTGGACCGTCGTGTTGAGGGCTTCGTAACAGCTCTGGCTGAGGTTGGGGTAGTGGGCGTATCCCAACTTCACGTCGGTGAACTGCTGGGCGTTGATGACGCCCAGGAGAGCGGACAGGTGAAACGCAAGAGCCGGGGCCCGCGAGCGAAGAGCAAGCTTCATCTTGCAAGAGGAATAAACGAGTGACGGAGACAGCTAGGGAGTCAAAAAGAGCGTAGAGATGAGCTGGAAACGAGCATAATACCCCAGACTCCAAGATCCTCAACGAGATATCTCAGGCAGCGGGCGATGACATGATAAAGAATCAAGTGAATGGGAGAAAAATACACAACAATAATCACGACTGCGAGCAATCACAAGCCTAGGTAGTTCAGTCCGGAACATATCCTTTCACATCCCGTCGTCCCTTGCCGACATTTCCCTCATCCCATAGTACCCCTCCCTATCCTCATGGTCACAAGGCCTTGGAAAGGCTCACGTTGACAGCTCGCTTCGGCATGCCTTCATTTGCTTATGCTCAATGCGACGGTGGCAGTCCGGTCATGGTTACATGGCCTTTGCCCAGCCCCAAAGCCCCGAATTGTCCGCTTATCTTTAATCCTAACCACATGTACCCAGCCCGTAGGTGTGATGGGACAGTTCGTCGTGATCGCCATGTCCCAAGGCGGCTCTAGCCAGGGTCCGAAGGCGTGCCCTGCTGCGCGTGATTACGGTCAATGGTCGCATGCAGGTAAGATATGCAGGTACATAGGCTGAGTGCAGTGCTACGAGATCCGTCCCATCAATCGCCTCTTGCCTGTGATAGTCAAGCGAGGCACTAATACCATGGCCAAGAGGCTAGGTCAGGCTGACAATTTTTTGAGGCTCGGCGAGCAGCGACGATACGAACTTATTGCCGTCGAGCTTCCTCTTGGAGAAAGACATGGTCCTCGAAAGAAGACGGAACGCGGATAGCCTCGGGAGAGGGCATGGCCAAGGTTAGGTGGCGGGTCTGTTGCCTGCTGTCCGGTAAGACTTGACTCAGTCACTCCTGGCTACCAGCGTTGCATTCACCTCCGTCACGAGCTGGTGAACATCAGAAGACCCCCCCTGTGGTAGCCGGAAAGTAACCGAGACCCTGAGATGGCGAGGACTCGCGGTCCGAGCCGATCAAGCCACGACGACTTTGACCAACGTGGCGGTCCTTTCGGGGTGTTTGAGCTTAAGAGAGCCCATCCCCAAGGCAGCCCGTCCGGCACACGTTCCAACAAGTGCCATACGCGCTGTCCCTTGAACCCAACGAGGCTCTCCTTTTGACACTCTTTCGAGGTCTACATTCGTTGAATCGCTTTCTCTTTTTCGCGGGACACCGTCCCTCTTAGTAGCCATGGCATCCATCAGGGACCGCCGCTCTACACTCTTTACCCTCTTGTCACTCGTTCCCCTTCTCTTTCTTGTCTTTTACGTCGGCAGCAGGCATAAGAGCGCTCCTGCTGTTGAGTTGACTCAGCTGAGCTCCAGGGCAGAGAATCCAACTGCCCAGCCCGCTCCCGAGTCCATCCGCTCTTTCACCCCCTCCGGTCTTTCTGGCAACTTCACCGTCTCTGACGCAGAAGCCCCCTTTGGTCTTGCCGTCCGCCTCGACGACGACCCCTATACCTGCGGCCCCGGCCGGCCCTGCTCCAACGGGGCCTGCTGCGGCGCCTGGGGCAACTGCGGCTATGCGCCGGCGTATTGCGGTGCGGGATGCCAGTCCAACTGCGATGCCAAAGCCGAATGCGGCCAGTATGCCGTGAACCCGGGCCAGACGTGCAACCTCAATGCGTGCTGCAGCGAGCACGGCTTCTGTGGCACCACCTCCGACTTCTGCACCGAGGGGTGTCAGTCCAACTGCATCCTCGAGCCGCAGCCCCCGGGACGACGGCGACACGTTCAAGGCCAAGCTCGCGTGGGCCAACGAGATGGGTTTCGGCGGGTCGATGATCTGGGCCGTGGACACGGACGACGACAAGTTCTCGGCCATGAGCGGCCTGATGGGCCACCAGGTGTCGCACATCAACACTAACAAGGTCGAAGCGCTGGCCATGACCAGCTCCAACGTCATCAAGACCATCAAGCTGGAGAACGGCCAGGGCTGCTATGTAGATAAGTCAGGCGGCTGTAGAGAGGATGGACACTTTTCCCGCCCTAACGGCGAGAGCTTGGTTGCCGTCGACAGACAAGGATGCGTGAGTGATGGGCCAATATTTCACATGTATGCTTGAGTAAGGGCGAGCGAGCAGACATACTGACGTGTCGTTTTCCTAGGGCTCGGAAGACAGCAGCAAGGGCATGCCGGTCTGCTGTCCGCGGGACTCTACTAGCTCGTGTACTTGGCGAGGCACGCCTGATGACGGCGGCGTCTGGGGCGACTGCAACGGGCAGTGCCACGTAGGGGAGACGGCGATTGTGTCGTCCAAGTGGGGAGGGTCTCCCTCGGCTGACACCAAGTGGCCAAGGAAGAACTGCGCGCGAGGGTCGAAGGTTCTCTGCTGTGAGGCGCCTAATTTCAAGAGCATTGTCAAGGACTGCTACTGGACGGGATGGTTAGTAATACCTGCTTTTTCTTTTTCTTTTTGTTGTATATAGTAGGACTAGACTAGACCAGACAGGTGGCTAACAGATTTGTAAACAACATCCTGAGCAATGAGTGCTCCTTAACGCATACTGAGGTGGCTACTAAGACAGGAGCATGCCCTATGAGCCGTGTACAGAAGTACTGCTGCCTGCAGGACACAGGGCTCTATGAGTGCGCGTGGCGCGGCACCTCGCCCGACTGTGTTGACGGCAACTGCAAGGCGCTGGACAAGGACAACAGGGCACTATACGAAGTGCAGATTGATAGCCACGCCAGTGGCGACTCGTACAACGCCTGCAGCTGGAACCGGGAGAAGGGGCTCTGCTGCCAGGTCCGGGTGGCGGTTCCGGATCCCTTGACGTGCAAGGTCGACTCGTGCATGCTTGACTACAACTTTTGCTCGCAGACAAACCGCGACGACTGGGGCAACCACATTGAGCCGCGAGAGGAAGACGGGACGGGCGAGACGGCGGTGGCTCGGGCCGGAGCTGCCGCGGCCGACGACAACGACACGGGGGTGACGCTCGTGATTCGGCAGGACGATGGCGAGTTCCACGTCCTCAACAAGCGCGACTACAAGTGGCTGGCTTCGTTTGGCGTCGTCATCCTGCAGCAGTCGCTCGCCTACCCTCGGCCGGCGCAGCTCATGCGGCGGCTCCGGGAGGGTCTGGTTCGGGTGCTCCGGCGGTGGGCGACGCAGTCGGACTACTGCGGCGACCCGGGGGTTGAGGCGCTCGACATTGACTTGGATGACGACGCCGAGGCCCCCGAACGGGCGCAGGTCGAACACACGATCCCGCTGGTCATCGTGTCGCGGTTTGCGGCGGTGGCGGAGCACGGGCAGATGTGGACGGCTCGGCAGGCGGGATACCGGCGCGACGATGGCACGCTGGTCGGGCAGGCGCACCCGGCGGGGCGGCTCACGACGGCGCGACGGGTGGGCAACCAGAACTTCTGGCAGAACATCTGGGGCGACCTGAACGGGCTGCCGGCGGGGCTGCCGCGGGTGACGCCGGACTCGCCGGACATCCGGCAGCCGGTGGGTCGGCTGTACGAGGCGCTGGGGTCAACGACGCACCCGACCGAGTTCACGTTTCTGCAGGACAACATCAACGGGGTCAAGGGCCGGGTGGAGATATTCAACGCGCCGATGGGGTCGGGGCTGTTTGGGCGGTTCCTCCGCGACGCGGTGGACCGCAGCAACGACTCGCCGCTGACGGACATTATGTCGTTCATGGCGCCGCTGCGCGAGCTGGTGGCGCTGTACGGGTACCTGCGGGACGACGACGTGGTCACAAGCATCGACAACGGCGCGTCGCTGTTTCTGGCGCAGCTGCAGCAGCTCGAGCTCAACCTGCCGGACGCGCGGGGACTGTCGACGCAGTGGAACGAGTTCTACCCGGCCTACTTCCGCATGGTGTCCGAGTTTGCCCGCACGTGGGCGCGCGCGCGCATCTGGCAGGTCAGGCGCATGTGTAACAGCCGTAACAACCTGTCGTAGAGGCACTGTTCGGGTAGGAAAGATCATAAGGAAAACGGCTTGACTATCTACAGTGTAGAGATAGGTCATCCAACTCGAAGAAATAGGTGTTCCTCGAGTGGGTCAGCTGTATGGGGACGAGGCTCGGTTCGGAACAACCATGTCTCCGGCCTGGAGAAATCGGCCGACCGGAGCCGGATGCGCGTGATGCACATGAGGGCATCACGACACAACCTAAACGCACCACACCGGGCCAAGGTACTGGCAGCGCTGCAGGAGATTGAGAATGACATTCCCAACTGGACGCACCCGGTTGAGTGAGCAAAGAGGAAGAGGGCGGGAGACGGGTGCGTGATTTAGGGCGGGGGGGTAATTGAGTGAATAAACGAGACTCGATACATTACTATTTGTATTACTCCATGTACTATAGAAGAATAAATGATCGGGTGTCTGATGGATGGAGAACTTGCATGCCTATTCTGTTTGTTACACCTCGACAGAGATTGTAAACGTTAGCGTTTTACTTACTATTAACTAGATGGAAGGTGAGATCAGCAGGTCGATATACTTATCGATGGGTGTGAAAAGAGCTATATTCAAAGTACTAGTACTATATCCACCCCTCTATCATTCCTAAGTACAAGACGAAGTCGGTGAGGCATGAAGTGTGCTAATTCCTGTAAGAAATCTGAAGGTATCGCCAGGTAGGTTGCCCGTGATAGATTTGGTAGTGCCTATCAATCCATTCCTTTATCCAAAACTACACGTTCTCTATTAGGCTTAGGTCAAGATAATGTCCTGGCCACTTCAATAGACCCTTGCCCATCTCTTCCATTGCTTGAACTGTAACCTTTACTTTGATGGACAGGATGTTGTTGTGTTCTATATTACTATTGCTGTTGCTGTTGCTGTTGACGTTGCTATTGTTGGTAGAAGGAAAAAAGCGTAGGCCATACGTAGCATCTATAGCTTTAGCCGGCTGGTTATTACTGGCTATTACTAGTACTAAGTTTCATATGAGAAATCGCTATCACAAGAAGCTCTGTTCCTTGTTGTACTTGGGGCATTTCACTGCACAAACGTTTATGTTGGTATACGGTAGGAATGCTCCGGGGAGGTGGGTCACGTGATATTCACGTGACACACCGCCTCCCCTGGCAGTATCCACCTTCCCACACTACAGGGGATATACCAACACAAGTGCCATAAATCTAGATACACACAGAAAAGAACAAGCAACAACACCATATTCCTAATTATGATCTACTACGTAATAATTAGGATATCCCTCTACTATAATTTGCTAACACTAATTACTAATTAGTGTGTAATTAATTATAAGATTACTACTATAATAGATTAGTAAGGTTTCTTTTATATAAAGCAGAGGGAACTACTAGCCTATTAGCGTATAGTCCTCTATAAAATTAATTATCTTTACCCTTATCTTTACCTATATAACTTATTTTTATTAACAATAATAAGTAATAAATTAAAGGGTAAGAGGCCACTGCTAGTAATAATAAGACTATTAAACTAATTACTAATAGTTACTTAGTTACTATTATATTTATAATCCTTATTATTATATCTCCTATAACCTCTTCCCTTTCTATAAGCCTTCCTCTATTATATTAACCTATTAATATAAGGTAACTATATTAATTTTAACCTTAATAAAAAAGATCTATAAAAAGTTAGGATATATATAATATATATAATTACTATATAGTTAGATAGTAACCTCTATAGTTAGTAACTTCTTAATACCTTTTAATCTAACTTTATAAATTAGACTATAGATACCTTTAACGCTATAAGTACTAAGGCACTTTTAGTATTTTATAATTATCTTTATAATAACAAGGTGTATATTAATCTAACATAAGGTAGGATTATACCTAAGTTAATAAGCCTACTTAACGCTAAATTTTATATATAAAGTAAAGAAAATATTACTTTTACTTACTATAAGTAATTTATCTTTAACTAATAAATAAAGAACCCTAACTTTATTAATAATATTACTAGTTAGTATATCTATTATAGGCTAGAGCTATAGTATATATAGTAGGGCTTTACCTACTATAACGTATTATAATACACGTACCTATAACTAGTTTACGCTTACTTAGTGTACCTACTTAAATACTATATATATAAAGGCATACTAAAGAATAACCCTTTCTCTTTTTAGCTTAAATTAATGATATTAAGTTACTATATACCTATTAGAAAGTAGTACTAGCCTTTTATATATCTAAGCTTATAATAAATAAATTAGATAGTATAGTGTCTATAGCGCTTATATAATAACTTTATAATAAAAATATAAAGTTAAGAGATAATATAAGGTCCTTTTGTACTATAGTAAAAGAGATATACTATAAGGTAGTAAGTATATATAATATACTTACCCTTAATAATAATATAGGCACTAAATTAGTAGCTAGTAACACTACTATAGGCTATACTATACCTACTAGGCCTACTACTATACTACTATACTAAAAGCTATTACTACTACCCTTAAAGTTTTTTAGATTACACTATAATTTTTTACTATAGTAGTAATAAATATATAATAAAGTAAAAATTAATTATAAATTCTTTACTAGTAAGTATAAAGTGTAGTATTTTATTAACTCTTACTTAGAGATTAGCTCTTAGTATATAGTCTTAACGTTTTATAAGAAAAGTAAGATACTATATAACTATAAGCTAAAAGAATTCTTATATTACCTAAAACGTATTTATAGTAATCCTAATAAAAGATAATATATAGCTACTACACTTATTAATCTATATATAAAAAAAACTAAAATATCTTTTTTTCTACCTTAAGTTTTAATAGACCTTTATAAAGGCAGGTAGGTAGTTATAAGATAATAGCGCCTCTATAGCTCTGCTTATAAGCATGCTTTTAGTATGCCTTTATACTACCTTAGTAAGTATGTCCCTCTTAGAGGGCTATAACGCCTATGTTACTTAGATTAGTAAAGTAGCCTAGAAGGTTAAGGACCTTACTAAGGTTATATATATATACTACCTTACTTACCCTTTATATAAAGATACTAATAAAGATACTATAATAGTAAGATTAGCTTAGGACGTTAATAAACCTACTACTAGAGGTAAAAGGGTTATAAAGCCTATAGAAAAGGTATATATAAAGCATAAAACTAGGACTTACTATAACTACTAGAGGCTAGGTTACTTTATAAGGAACTATAATAGCATATTAGTACGTATGGCTAAGATAACTACTATATAAGTTAAAGAGCTTATAGAGAGTAAGAATAATAAAAAAGAAATAGACGTTAGTAATAAATTAAGAAAAAAATAACTTTAGGATAAAATTAGACCCTAAAGCTAATAAGTAAAGAATATAAAAAATAAAAAGAGTTTTTATATATAAGGAAAATAATTAGATTATTTATATTATTAGATACTTAAGTTAATAAAGGTTTTTCTACCTAAGCCCTTACTAATACTAGCTATAATACCTATATAATAGTAAATAGTAACTTTATATAAAAATAGCAATTTTTATATATCTTATAATATAAAACCTTATTAAAGGGGTTTACTATAGCTCTTAATATATATTAATAATAAGTATTATTATATTTAACCTTAAACTTAGTAGGTACTAATAATATATATATATATATATATAGTACCTAGATTAAATTAGAATATCTTCTTAGGGAAGCCTTAGATAAAGGCTAATAAGGTTATTTTTAATATAGTAAAAAGTACTATTTACTATAGATATATAGACCTTACCTTATAATTAGTAAGCTAATATAAGGTAGAGAAGGTATATAAAATCTATACTATAAGTATTATTAAAGTGCTTTTATTTATAGTGTTATGTTACTACGTGGCCTACTTAGAAAAGGTAAAACAATATAGCACTACTCTAGCTACCCCTAAGTAAGAGGCCTTCCTCTAAATTATAGTAGTAAGCCTTAAGGATATTAAAAAGGCACTAATACTAAAAGAAGATAAAAGTGTAAAGTAGGCTATAGTAGTAGTAGCCTTTTTATAATAAGTATATAATAAATTTAAGGACCTATTTAACCTTACTATATTAATAAAAGTGTTACTATATTAGCCTAGATAAGATTACTATATTAAGCTTAAAAAGGGCGTAACCCTACTATAAGGACTACTTTATAGTATGTTACGTAAGGAGCTATTAGTCTTAAAAAAGATACTAGAGGATCTTCTAGATTAGGGACTTATTTATATAAGTAGCTTTACTACTAGGGCGCTAGTACTATTTATATAAAAACTAAGTAGTAAATTACGCTTTTACTATAACTACTATATACTAAGTATAATTACTAAGAAGGACTATTATCCCCTACTACTAATTATAAAAATACTTTAATATATATATACTACTAAATAGTATACTAAGGTAAATATTATAGCTACTTTTTATAAGATAAAAATAGCTAAGGAAGATAAGTATAAGACTATATTTTAAATATAATATAGGCTTTTTAAATAGTTAGTCTGCTTTTTTAGCCTTATAAATATACTTACTAGTTAGTAATACTTTATTAATAACATACTATATAAGTTTCTAAATAACTTTATTACTATATACCTTAATAATATCCTTATTTATACTAATAGTATAAGATAAGACTATAAAGATAAAGTTAGAGAGGTCTTTATAAGGCTATATATAGTAAGACTTAGCCTTAATATAGTAAAAGGGTAAGTTTAGTATTAAGAAGGTAAAGTATATTAGCTTTATACTAGAAGCTAGTAAGAGTATATTAGTAGACCTTAAAAAAATATATACTATTAATAAATAGTTAATACCTAAATTAGTAAATAGTATATATAGTTTTTTAGGCTTTACTAACTATTACTATATATTTATAAATAACTACTTAGAGATTATAGTGCCCCTTATAAGGTTAATAAAGAAAGATATAGTATTTTAATAAGATAATAACTATAAAAAGGCTTTTTATAAAATAAAGGTAAGCTTTTAGTAT